CGATCTATTTGACGATACCAGTTTGGGACAGGCCTAGTCAATAATCCTCCGAAAACAAGACACTTTTCCCCATCTGGCGCTTGGTCCCTCGTGAACGCGGTCTTCACAGAGGTTTCCCAGCTGCGTGCTCGGTCCTCGTCTTGGTCTTTACCATGAAACTCCTTGAGATCTGAGGTCGCTGAGAGATTGATACGAGGGACCGTTGGGCACTTATCCCAGAGTGGAATTGGCCATTCTCGCCAGAGGTCCATCGAGGTCCATGTCATCTCGGTCGTATTCGCATGGACCGATCGTTTCTATTTCCACGTCGGCCATCCCTTGGTCTCTTGCAACTTGCATACCTTCACTTAGGCCCAGCTGGGAAGTTGACCTCTGCGCCCCTCTGCCGTCCTCTGGCCGTACTTCCATCGATGTGTGTTTATGGTACTTAGCGTTCTTGCAAAAATTTTGCCATCGCCGCGTCAAAGCATGCCTGCAAATTACCTACCGGATTGGTAGGCGCTCATCCCCGGGAAGCTTCGTCACGTGACGAGGTATAGTTCGGTACTAGTCCTGGATCATTTCTGATTTGTTGAAAAGTCGACCTATCAGAAGCCTGACTTGTCCTTGGCTGTACACGCGTTGCCTTTTTGTGAGCTCGCTGCTCGTCGTCCGCGCTCTTCGCTCAGGTCTGCAGCAGTGGCATGCCAATTAGTCCTAGTGGCATTCGGCTCACGTGACTAGCGACGGACGACCCTCGCGATGATTGCCTTGCAGGGACCTGAGGACCCTGAGGTAAGGTGGTCTGTGGTACACCTCACATAGACCATGAGTTCTCGGTCGACCATTGCTCTCGAGGTTGGACCTCGATGTCTTGTTGGGTCATCTGGCTGTCGTCAGACGGTCCTTTTGCGGTGGTCGCAGGAGGTGAGTCGAGTAGTACTGGGGTTATTCCCACAAGGACACCTGGACGTTTGTGTAGAATCTCTAACGTGGTCTTGATACTGTTCAACTCCAGAGAAAACAAGTCTTCAGGATTGAACCTTCCTGCGACCATACCCACCTCGCGACGAAGGGTCACGAGCGCGATAATCGCGTCTGTCACCGTTCTCAGCTTGGGAAGGATCGATACAGGTCCGCTGAGCTGACCCAGCAGTCGGATCTAGAGGGCTCCGGTGACGGAGGTCACTCTCCAGGAACGCTTAAAGCTTGAGTCGATGGTAGTTCATGGTCACGTTTGCATCCGACCAGGACAAGGGGCCTGAGGTCGAGGGGCCTACCGACTTGGTGTCACCTGGTGCTTTCATCCGGAGCTTGGTTGGCTTGGACATAGCGATCGTATTTTTTTTTGTTTTTTTGTATGTTCTTATTTTTTGGGGACAATCGTCTATCGGTTTGCATCTTCGACTGACTGTCCTCTGGGGCATGATAGATATCATGACGCAAGGTTTCCCCAACGAGGACATAGGGAGAGTATATCGGTTTCTCTTTAATAAGTTCAACCTTGACCATATTGACCGGACCCCTCCCAAGGTCAGGTCGTTCCATCAATCCTTTGGTGTTTCCTTGTGTAGTCATTGGCGATCGGCCTACCAGTGACTCTTCGGTCTTTCCTCAATCTTTGCTTGAACACCTTCATCTTCTGGGAGCTCGCGGTGATATCCCGCGTCTTCAGACATTCCGGGCACGCACACCATTGTGGTGAAGTTGGTTCTCAAAACTGCGTAATGAGACCCCAAGCCACTCACTGTGCCGGACTGCCGACTGTCGGAGGGGGTACCCCGATGCCGCGTATAGACCTTCTCTCACCTTGTGTACCCGGCTGGCGGGTTGCACTCTTCGGAGGACTTGGTTGAGATGTGATGTCGGCCTTGAGAGAGGTCGATCTTGGGGTGCCTCGAGTGGGTATACTTCACTCGGTAAGCGGGCAGGTGGCCACTCGGTCGACTAGGTCGAGGGTGGACTTATAGTCAAATTCTTCAGGGGAAATTCTCAACCGTGGCCCTTTCCTTTCTTTTCCTTGATATCTTATATGTGATAACCGCCTGGGATTTACTTGCTCCCGGACCACTAGTAGGGAGACCGCTTCCGATAGCGGGTCGATTTGGGGGGTGCTACTCAGACGAACCCACAGGCCGAATGTATCCTGCAGTTCTATTCGCACTTGGGTCTTACCACACACTGTCTTCGACGGGGGCCAAAATGTATCCCTTTTCGGAACCGGCGGGTAGACTTAGTAGGTACCTTAGAAGCACGACGGAGGTGTGCTATATAGATCGCAAATTGAGTAGTATTTAACATGGTCCTATCTTTACACTTCCTTACTCTATCGTTTCCCCAAGACCTAATTCTTGATTCTGCTTGGCTAGGGTACTACGGCCGAGACCCCGGGAGGCCCAGGGCCAGAGGGGCCGAGGTCCATTGATGCGGGACCAAGGTCGACCTTTAGAAACAGGGGCCGAAGGTCCGCCGTCCGAAGGGCCAAGGTCCTTTGATGCAGGACCAAGGTCAACCTTTAGGGACAGGAGCCGAAGGTCCGCCGACCGAAGGGCCAAGGTCTACCTTTGTGAAAAGAGAGGTCTATCAATGATAGACCGGGGTCCACCTCGAGGAACCGCGGTTCATCAAGCTAACCGCGGTTAATCATCTGAATGGCGGCTAACTAGCACGCTTTGACCGCACATTCTTCTCACCCAACGGTCGTTCCTCATCCCTTTTTTAGCGTCCCGTCTCTCATTCCCTTACCCAACGGTCGCTCTTCCGTGGCGGGTCCCCTTCTCTTTGTCCCACCGGTCCTATGACTTGCCAATTCTTGACATGCTTCACCACAGATACGTAGAAATTCCTCTAAAAAGTCATCTTAAAAAACAATGGAAACTGTATTTCATGAGAAGGGAACGGTGGGTCGCGAACATGAAGCAAGGGGTAGGACGTCAAAAATTTTTGAAGGTGACCAACTTCAGCGCCCACACACTAATCTTGCATACCAAGATAGATATGTACTTGACAAAGGATCAGGTACCAGAGCACAAGGCTTCATTTCGGAGGGATCTTCAAAAGATACGCTGAGTAAATAATTCTGGCTTATGGATTCACCACTGATCAGGTCGACCTTCAGATGGACCCAACGGAAGAGGACGAGGAGCCAATAGTGGAGACAACGCTGTATCACATCCCGCAGGCATACTACAGCTTCCAAGGGTTTCTGCCTCAATGATCAACATGTCGCACCGACAAATTCTCGAGAAAGAAGCACAATCATGCGAAGAAAGGAGCGCCTACGGGAAAAAAATCCCTTAAGAATGAAGTGCGTCTGAGGTCACCCAACCTACAGAAGCCACTGTCCGTGAGGAGGATGCCAAACTGGATTACTCACCGCTAGTAAATGATTAAGTGTGCACCATTGAAAGTGGAAGGATCTGAGCTTAAGAAGCAGGACCAAGGGTGGGAAATCATACCGGAGGTGGACTTATTACCCAAATGTATTGAGTTGTAGTACATACAGGTCCCTGACACGGATGGGAATACTCCCAAAAATGTGTACAGGCTGTGACAAATAATATGGAAAAGATGACATCTGTTGATGGGGAAGGTAACGCCTTACCAACGGCCGCTTGATGACATTTGTGTGGGGAATGCAAGGCCGATTGCGCAGCGCGTACGGAAACTGTCCCCTCCATTCAGAGACAAGTTGGCCGACCTGATTAAGGGACTGTTATCCGCGAAGATCATCCAACCCTGTACCTTGCCATAGGCCATCCCGATTGTGATTATTTCGAAGAAGAATGGAGCGAATATCAGGCTGTGTATTGGCTATAGGTTAGTGAATGAATTGACTCGGCTTATAGTCTATCCTATGCCTCTAATTAACAAAATATTGAAGGATTTGGATGGGGTACTCTTAAGGCCAAGTTTAAGAAGCAGCTTTTTCAGCCACTACTGTTGTTCTTGCGACAGACCAATTGCGGACATAGCTTCAATGTCCATTCTCACAGGGGTAGTCACAGACTACAAGTGATACCAGGTGTAGCCAAGCTAATATACGCAGTAAGTGCAGAAGAACACAAGCTCTACGAGCCTTTCGTATTTCAGGTTAGGCTAGCTTTACAAGCTGATCCTTTTTTTGGTTGTAACAACCACGTCTCCAAGAGGCCAGTATCAAAGATACAATTTCCTTCTTTCAAGGATTAGAACGCTGTAGCACGTGTGCTATTCAGAAAAGATTTAAAACTGATTTATTTAATGTTTAACTTCTAGCACTCAATGTAGAAGCACCTACTCTATACTAGTGCTAGCACTATTTATTTGGCTCTGTAGCCTTCTAATATGTAAAGATACGTACTTGAAATACTTATGTATATAGACCAACGTGGCTCTCTGCCACGATGCAGTCTTTGTACTTTGCTTCAACTCCTAGTGTACTTAACTTACAGCCACAACACAATGGTGCGGCAGGTGTGGATGTAAAATACACACCTGCGTAATTTCGTTACATATTCAGTGCTCAACATTAGCGTTCCGACCATCTTTTTTATTAGGCAGGTTCGATACAATGGGCTTGAATGTATTTTGAGCAATGCATTCGCTATCAATCACTCGACACTAACGGGAGAAGCATCGTGTGTATATGTGGTGATGATACTAAATTTTACATGTTACTCAATGCCAGCGTGGCTTCAGCTCGAGATGAATTATCTTGCTTACGTTCTTTTTAAATGTTCCATTCGTTACGACTAAGATCGATATAATATAAGCAAGTACATCTCATAACATGCGAGAAAGGCACATCTATTAAGAAATTGACATTTAAGGATACGGAAGCGTCGTGTTATGATTCTCTTGTCGATTGTGCAAACAACACGAAATGGGGCATCTCGGGATACTGTCCTCTCAAATGTTCCATTCGTTACGACTAAGATTAGCATAAAATGCGTCATTCATTATTTTTTCGTTGACTGTACAAATTCATCGGCAAGTAGCCAACGTATTAGCATGTTTCGATCGTGTGGCATCCATTCACGATGGAGCATTTTGTGGACTGGAAACGTCAACATAGCTACGCTAAAGACAGTGTGGGGTCTCCTTTCGATGACAAACATACTCATACCACGAAGCAGAAAACGCTGGACGATGAGCAGCCACTTGTGTACCGTAATGACGAGTCTGTAGAGTGTGCTCACCCGCCGCCGCTATTGATGCAAAAGCCGGTAGCTGCCTGGGCACTAGGAGGCCTTGGTGTACTGTTTCTTTTGGTGGTAGGTCTAGTGGTCCGAGGTGGCACTATTCACGGCGCTCTGAGTGTGACTCACTTGACTGCAAAGACAAACACGTGGATGGAAATGTTACCCAGTGAGGTTTGAGTGATGAAACAGTGGACCCGTGCCAAAGCCTCTACAATTTTAGTTGCAGCTCATGGATGAAGACAGCAAAGATTCCGGAAGACGAGCCAGCTGTGATCTTGTCGTTTTTTGCTATTAAGCTGACGTTGAAAAGGCATTGCTTGAGGTAATGAACCTAGGCCGGCCGCTGATAGGCGATTTGTACGAGTCGTGTATGAACTTTAACAACACAAAAATCTCGACGGCGAATGACGTGTCGATGAGTGTCTTGTTGCCGTTGATAGAGCAGATTGCTGTGACGAAGACGAAAATGAAGTTGTTTCAAATGGCAGGAGCATTATGCATGACGGAGTCAAGCTTCGTAACCATTCTTGATTCTGATTCGGATGATGAAGAAACATACATGCTGAATGCATCGCCGGATGGGCTTACATTGAACGTTGCTGAGTTTTATTTGAATAGTGAGAAGTTTGACTGGTTGAACGACGCGTTCCATGCGTATGTGATGAAATTGTTACTATTGATTGGAGTGGAGTCGCATGAAGCAGCATCAAATGCCTCAGCAGTGATTGCCTTTGAAAAAACTGTTACAGCCTTTTCTGTAGCGAAAGATGAGCCTGGAATTTCTGCAGCATCGAACAACCGTATAAGCGTGACCCAAGCTACTTCTATGCATCCGTTGCTTATTTCACAGTTCTTGGATGGCGCAGGTTTGCTTCAAAACCTCACAGGTCAGAAGGCTGAAATGTACTTTACTGTATAAATCCCAAATGTTGCAACCTTACTGAAAAGTCTGTGGCTGGAGATTATGTTACTTTGGATATACCGAAAACTGTGCTGACGTACCGGCAAATTTCGCCTTACGCAGAGTCCCTCAATGAGCCTTTCGCTCAGGCAAGCTTCTCCTTTTTCCGTCAGTTTCTCAGCGGTCAGAAGAAACGCATCTCGCGATAGAAGTTTTGCCTTGACAAAGTTACCGAAAATTGTCCTGATTTGGCCGGCAATTACGTTGCGCGTCTTGGCTTCGGTAGCACTACTGCACAACTGGCACCAACTTGTAGCACAAATTCAAACGTCGATGCAGAAGAACATTGAGCAGGTTGATTGGATGGACGAATTCACTCGTGAGGCAGCTCTAAGAAGTTATGCACCCTGACCAGTATTAGCGGGCGTTCGACTTACGTTAGACAATTTTCGTTTAAATTACGCAGTGACGCACTGATAGCATATAACTTGGACATCATCTACAGGGATGTGCTGCTCAACTTTGAACCGAATTGGTATGAAAAGGGACCCCAATGTATCAATACCAATAGTAGGGGCTGCTGAAGTGAACGAGTTTTGTGTGGATACAACAAATTAGATGGTATTTATTACTCGCCACTTTTAATAACTGGACGCTATCCCGTGCAAACCTTATAGCTATGGGTACCTTTATCGGCGGGACGGGACAAAAGGAGGACAAGCTCACTGAGCGAGAACATGCATCGCAGTGGAAGCCGAAGGGTGTGAAGAGGAACGGGACGCGTATGCAGAAGTGTGAGCTATGATAGATTCCTGTGCTTAATTACAATACAATTGTTCTACAAATCTTGTTGGTGTACTGTTTTCGACGGAGAAAAGGTGAGCTACTAATCAAGTACGTTAGTCTTTGTTTTAGCGTCATCATTGTCTACAGCTTCTCCACCAAGCTTAAAGCAGCACTATTCCACAATGTTTGACGGAGGCTGCGGTCATCCCAACCCCAATACCTTGTCCTAGAAACGAACAAGATTCGATTGAAATTGTTGAGTTAGATGTAGAAACTCGCAAGTTTGAGCGACTAGATGTAGCAAACACAGTAGGTAAGTCGTGCCCTCAGCTTCGTAGACGCGCATGTTGTGATGATAACGTTACAGTAGAAGAAAACAGATTCTAATCCTACTAGACTCACGGTCACAAAACGTGTCATGAATCATAGGAATGCTTCGAAGCTAATTAGTTAAATAATTTAGCCTAAACATGTGCATACTTTACGTGTCGTGCACGACGTCAATTCGGAAAATGGCATAAAAGTTAACTACCTTATTAGTTAAGTGGCTTCAAGAAGTTTCTTATCAATTTTTGCATATAAAAAGAAAGCGCATTTGTGACGAACCCATTATGAAACAAATGGGTACAAACTGGATTTCCCACTAGAAAAAAAAACAATAGTGCTCTATTTTGTCCAAAGTACGACCATCTCTCATTTCAAGGAAGACTATATAACAAGTACTGATTTCAAAAACCTACCTATTAAAACCGGACACAGCAGATCTGATTTTTTTCTTTGGACATCCATCCAGAAGCTATGATCGTCGTCTATTTTCTGAAAAGGACGAGACTAGAATGATACCGTCGCCTCTTATTCTCCTTGTGCTATTGGTCTCTCCTGCCTTATGCTTAAATATCAAAGTATACCATCATCATCACAGGAAATTCCGCGAAGTGACAGTCATCCCGGACAACGCGATGTGCCCTAACAGTGGAAATGTGCTTCTGTGCCAGAGCGCATCGTATGCGTGCCAGGACGACGGCGCTGGTGCGCAAAAGTGTCTACCCCGTGATGACTCCTTCTTGGACTCGGTGGACGAGTCGACGACGATGCCATGGGCTAGCTGTAGCCTTTCAAATGCCAAGTTGCCGTCCAAGTGCCTCTTTGACTTTCAGTGTAATTGCATGGATTATGCCAATGTCAACTGCTATTGTAGTCCATCCGATGCTTGGAGAACGGGACGCAAAAAGGCTGAAAATTGTACGACCTCTAGTGGTGAAGTGGGTGTCTGTGACGTAGGCAAGTACTGTCGCACCAAGGACCACTACCAGGAGTGTGCTGTGGCACCCTACCTTCCCCGTAGCACATCGCTCTACAGTGACTGCACGAACGACAATGAGTGCGACGCAGGTTTGACTTGTAAAGACTATGACAATTTTGCCATCTGCGTGAACGGCAAATGAAAGGAGACAAGTGTAGAAGTTGAAATGGATTCGATGTCCACAGTAGACATTACGGTAGTACTGATACTACACGAGACATTAGTACAGTAACACGGAAGTTACTTGCCTAGCTGTTCCTGATCGTTCATTAAGTTTTCAATACTACAACACCTCCTTTTGTATCCAGTACTATTTTCGGCTTTTCTACTATTGTTACTGCACGTTAAAATCCGTGAAGAGTTCACTGGTAACTCTGACTAAATCTAAAGATTGAGCTATCTGCACTTCTTGGCACTTTTATCCAGTCAATTGAAGATATTCATACTATACTCGTGGCTAAGACATAATGTAATGTAAAGATGTATAATGTTCAATGCTGTAGAATACTGACTGATGACGAATATGATGGAAATATGTACCAACAAGAACTTTGTCTGCAGGATGAGCCTGGTGAAGAGGCATATGTCATTGCTCCTTCTTGTTGCCTATACTACCTCAGTAATATGCAGGATAATTCGTACGAAAGCGAAGAAACTGCGATGTGTACACGAGGCAAGTACTGCATTATTTCTCAAGCTGGTGGCGTTGAATGTGGGCAGATATCTAGCTACTTGTGAGAAGAGCATGTAGACTAGAGTACACCTGAGTGATCGATATCTACAGACATGATTACTGCTTATGCTACTTTGCTTATTGCTAATTACACTCGTGTTGTGTTTGATTTCGTCAGGAGCTAGACTGCGTGTAACGAAATGAGATCGTCGATGCTGTTAGGGACAGGGACACTCGGAAATAGGAGCTGGCACCTTCGTGAGTAATATCCTTTCGCATCTGTGCAGGTTGTGATCAAACCTGCGTCAACCTTTGTTGTATCACAAATCGTGCAGTCTTTGCTCCTGTTTGTGTTTCCTTTTTCCAAGCGACGCTGACGTAGTTTGGCTGCTTATTACGCATGTACCATTATCAAGACCGATGAACACGTCTACATCACGCGTCTGTGGCAACCGTAGCCCAGCCGCGGATGATTCATGCGACGAGATTTGACCTTGCGTTAAACTCTCCTGCGAAATCTTCTGCCCGTTATTTTTCGCTCGTTGCTCAATGGTGTCTATCGGTAGGCCTCTTGTCGAACCTTTCTTGACACAAGACAAAGGAAGTCTAGCTTTACTTTTAGGAGGCCATCTTGGCTGTCCCACAATGTTCCTTCGTCTCTCGTCACGAAGTCGCCAGTGATTCACAGACTCCGTTAGTTCACGAACTTTATTCAATAAACTCACGTTCTTTACATGAAATTATTTCTGATCCTGAATAAGTTTCGCGTTTACGAGAAGTAACGCGCGGCGTTTAGATTCCACTTGCTGCTGGTCATGCTTCATCTGTTGAATTCGGTTCATAAAATGTTTTTTAGCTTTCGAATCGGAGTCATGAGTTTCACGTCGAGGGGAATTACGGCAACAGTAGCACCTAGACTGCTTTGTATGCAGCTCCTTGTTTTCCTTAACCACTTTTTCCAGCTCAGCCACCAGCAGAGTGACTTGCGTACTCAAGTGCGATACTTGCAACGACGTTCCGTCCTCCGTATCGCGCTTTTGCGCATTTTTAGCAAAAAAAGTGAGATCGTTCTCTCTCCAGTAAGCCACTTTGGATTCTAGCCTGGTCGTTGTGACTTCCAGCATTGCGATCATCTCTCGCAATTTCAAAGCGTCTGCTTTCATGGCCTTATTCTTAGCCACAAGCCGAGCATTGGACTGGAATTGAGTCTTAATTGTCGACCTCAACGCTAGTTTCTGCTGTTTGTATTGGCTGCACAGTCGTTCTGCCTCATTCATACAACTCTTCAACTCTTCTTCTTTGGCATTCCAGTCTGCATTAGCGACTGAGTACTGCTGCTGATAAAGCATCAGTTTTGTAGCCATTCTCATGTTCTCAGCTTCCAAGTTTTCCCGATCTGTTGTATGCTCAAGTATTTCATTGTGCAGTCTTGACGTAAGCTGCACAATTTCAGTAGACTTGGCGTCGACCAGCAAGGTCATTCCCCAAAAAAATTCCCCCCCCCCCCCCCCTCCCCCAACCACAACCCCCCCCACCCCCCCCGGCCTTTGTCCCCCCACCCCCCCCCCCCCCCCCCCCCCCCCCCCCCCCCACCCCAACCACCCCCCCACCCCCCCCCCCCCCCCCCCCCCCCCCCCCCCCCCCCCCCTTCTTAACGTCAGACTTTTGCACTGCTCTAGTAATCGCTCATTCTGGTACACTAGCGTCTCATTGGCTTTGCGCATTTCAGATAGTTTGTGATCTTGACTTGATATAGCTTGAGTCAAATGGTGCTGCCACTCTACAACACATAGTTTCGCTGCCAAGCAATCTCGCTCAGCAGTCGCAGTCTGTTATTCCAAGACCTGAGCTGCGATATCCTCCTTGAGACACAATTGCCATTCACGCAACTGTTCAGCGTTTGAGTGGAGCCTCGCAATTGTAAAGTCTGACTCGGTCTTACTTTTCTTAAGCTTCAATTTTGTAGAATGAAGAACGTACTGCGAGTCAAAATATTTTCTCTCAAAACCCTTTTTGAGTCAAGTCAGGTCGTCAACTTTGTCCAGCAAAATATCAATCTTTGCGCTTGTTTCGCTATCAACTTGGTTTTTGAGCGGGACATTTTCGTATTCCAGGCGAAGCTTAAAGTATCCTTCACAAATGTCTCATTTACCTCACACTGCACAACTGCAGCCAGCACGAGTTCCAGTACGTTCTCCAGCGTCTCGGCACTTTAATCATCAAGTTCTTGAATGTCAAGAGCCAGTGACGTTTCATAAAACCACTCGAAACTATTTACAACAGCTTTCCAGCCTTGTAGATCGTTTAATACCGTGGGAAATCTAAGTAACATCAAATATACGTTAGTGAAAATCTATACAATCGACCGTTTTCTCACGTATTATTGATGTTAAATCATCATTTTACGAGATCTAATGGACTCACGCAACATGTAAAAGACGCAGTGCGATCGATACATAGTCTAGAACGCAACATGTAAAAGACGCAGTGCGATCGATACATTGCGTAGAAACGTAGCCAACGCACGAGACTGTTTCTCTCATCCTTCATCAATCTCACCGTCGCACCTATTGGTGCGGCAAGGATTGAATCGGACATTTCCCTGACCATCATTCTGTTTTTCACTTCATTTCAGTATGTGATATATCATAAAAGTATCCATAAATTTTTAATTTTGACGTCCCGCCACACAATTTTTCTTTTCATTTTTAGACAAGGCGCAGTTGCAGTGCGCGCTCTCTCTTACTTCTCTCTCTTCCTCAGCTCTCGTGTCCTCCACCGCACGTCTACGCGTATTAACTGAGTTTCATCACGTACTTTGGCATTTTGTCTTTGTTTTGTATTAGTTTTGTTATAAAATGGTCGAGAAATGCCTGCGTAATGCCAGTTGTACCTGCAGTATGTGTGCGGGCTTTGATGTCGCCTCATTAATGCGCATTTCCAAGTCTATTTCATCTAATATTCAGTACGGTGACACAGAAGAAGATAAAGAAGAGATCAAAATATCTATTGTGCCGAAACGTGGTGGTGTAGTGAACTCTCCAGCCGCCATAGCCACACAGGCGTTTGTATCGAGCTCACCACCATTACCGACCGTCCATAGTCAGGAACTTACCGTGAAAGACGTGACTATGGACAACGAAGTTGAAGATATAACGATGACAGATAGTTCATCTCTATCGCCAACAAACCATGTGATAATGGCGACGACATCACCGCCATTACAAGACAACCAGATAAACACAGTGGTCTCAAATTTATTAAATATGGAGGTAGATAGTACTGCACAAGAAACTGTGACTGTTTCACTTGATACTGTACTGCCGAAGTTAACGGACAAGAATTGGAAAGTAAGGAAAGAAGGCTTTGAAGACCTGAAGCTATTATTTGAACAGCCAAATGTCAAGACGAGTCATGTGCAAGCAGCTGTGGAGCTATTCCCAAAATTATGCGAGGATTCAAATGCCAGTGCAATGGAAGCAGGGTTTGCAGCGGTGCTGGCATACACTTTAAGTGTAGAGCCATTTAACAAGGAAATTGTGACTGGTGTGATGACACGGGTGACAGACAAGGGGTTTTCAGCACGACCGGGTATTGTAAAAATTTGCGAAGAGTTGACCGACGCGTTTGTTGCAGCTGGAGCAGCGGAAGACACGACGGTGGCTTTGCTCGAAGGAGCCAAAAATCGCAAGCCAAAGGTGCCGCCAGCATGTCTTTCTTGTATTCTTGAGGCATTAAAAGGATACGGTCCACAAGTGTTGCCATTGCAAACTATTAAAGCAGCACTACCTAAGCTCATGGAGGGCCCTGTAAAAGCACGTCCGATTGCGATGGGTATCATTGTGGAGATTTTTAGGTGGACTGGTCCGGCGCTCGTTCAGGATATTGTGGCAAACCTTCGTCCGGCCCAGCAAACTGAATTTGAGGGACAGATTAAGGATGTTATTCCTGGTCAGGCAGCACCTACGAAGTTTATCAAAGGCGCTAAGCCCAAACGATCCGTTGCCAGTGGTGCAGGTGAAGGGGCGTCTAGTGGTGCAGCAGGAGCAACCGAGTTCGCACCTGCAGCATTTGATCCTCGTGATTTTGCCGAGACAGTCGATTTACTTGCAAAGCTGCTTAAGACTGAGTTTAAGGCCAAGTTGGCCTTACCGAAGTGGAGCGAAAAGGTGGAAGCACTAAAGATTGTTCTGGAGCTCATAGGCCCCGTACCGAAGCTTGCAAATGGGGATTTTTATGAACTGGTGTCCACGCTAAAGGTACTGGCAAACGACTCAAATGTGAACATTGTGGCTAAATCGATTGAAGTATTTGGTGCGCTAGCGGACGGCTTACGCAAAAACTTCACGCAATATGCTCGAGTGATGTTTCCTGAGTTGCTGCGAAAACTTTCAGACAAGAAGTCGGTGATTTTGAATGCGACAAATAAGACATTGGACTTATTCTTGCAGCATGCAATGACAATTGATATGATGATGGATGACCTGAAGCTAGCATGCGATGCATCAAAGAACAAAGCTCCGCCTGCACGCGTTCAGACGATGTGTTTCTTAACGCGCGCGGTCAAAAACCGCTTTGTGGATTTGAACGACAAGGCACTGGTTGTGTCTTTTGGAATGATGTTCTCCAAGGGCATTGGCGATTCCGACCCGAAAGTGCGCGAAGCTGGTCAAACATCGTTTATTGCGCTCTTGCAGGCTTCCGCTCAGGCATCGGTGTGGATGAAAAATATAATGGAAGATATAGCGCGCAAGAATATACGAGCATTCAAGGCGATCCAGCTAGGAATAGGAAGTGGAACTCCACTAACGCCTTCTTCTCGTCCAGGTACACAATCCTCTCGCCTTGGCAGTGCTCCACCATCGCGTCCCGGCAGCGCAAGTAGTGCTATTAGCCGCACCAGTGCTTGCAACGTAAAGGCACCAGAACTGGAAGTGATAAACGCGGACATGGCAAGTCCAGCGCCTGGTGGCCACCGTCATCCTCCTTTGAAAAAGCGTGGGCCACCTGCTCGACCCGGAATGAAGCTTAATGCTACCGGCACTACGTCTGCAAAAGCTGCACCAGCGAAAGGAACTGTGGCAATAGGATCAAGCTCTTCGGCAGGTGGGGGGTGCTAACAAAGACTTCACACCTGTGGCAATCTCTATTAGCGTTGAAGAAGCTGAGGACATCATTGCGGAACTTCAGTTGGAGAACTGGGATGAAATTAAGAAAGGTTTTGCAAGCTCAAAATGGATGGAACGAAAAGAAGCAATTGAGGGATTGGAGAAATATGCTAAAACACACTCAAACATGATGAATGCTAGAGTGATTGAGGCGTTTACGATTTATCTGTCAAAGCATGTAAAGGATTTTAAGGACAGCAATATTAACGTATTAAAGAGTTCGTTCCAGGCTGTGGGAACCTTCGCAGAGACAGCAGCCAGCAAGTTCCCGCGTGGAGTTGTCTGTCATGTTGCTGCTCGTGCTTGTGACAAGATTGGTGACAGGAAGGCGAATGAGGCTGTTCGTAACATGATTATGCAATTTTGTGAAGTAGCAAGTCCATCGTATACAACTGGGTGCATGATCGAGTATATGCCGAAGGTCCGATTACCGCTAGCGCATATTGAGGCACTTGCTGTTTTATTGGATTGCGTAAAGGACTTTGGCGTCTCCGTTTGCAATCCACGCGCTTTGATTGAATTTGCGAAGGGGCCGCAAGGGTTGGAGTCATCAAACCCCAAGGTTCGCAGCGCAGCTATCTCACTATATAGTACAATGTACTCGCAACTTGGACCGTCTTTACTCCCAATTCTCAACCTGGACAGCTGGAAGCCTGCATTGGCTGAGACAATGAAGGATGAGTTTAAAAAGGCAGGCTATGATCCGGCAAGTGCCATGGTAAGTATAAAGCGAAGAGTCAAAAATGAAGATGAAATCGCAATGTCCGCAGATCCAAGTGTCATATTCGGTCGTGTGGATGTAAGTAATCAGCTTACAAAGGAACTATTTGAGAATATGAAAAACGAGGCTGATAAGGGGGGCATGGAAGAAGCGTGGAGAGGCTATGGACACCGTCCAAGTAATTTGTGAGGGTGCTGGTTGTGCGATCGAGTTCACACGGCCTGTGCAAGAACTACTTCGCAACCTAAAAGTTCGTTTGAACGACTCAAATGCGAACATGAAGGTGAAAGCTGCAAATGTGATTGCGGTGGTTGCGACAAGTGTCGGGCCTGATATCGGTAAGATGTCGAAGATGCTTGGTCCAAGCTTGATTGCCGGAGTTGCTGACAATAAGAAGGTAATGCAATCAGCTGCAATCCAAGCTCTGCACAAATGGGTTTGCCATAGCGGCAAGACTTCCTGTGTTTGTATGGAAAGTCTTCTGTTGCCTCTTTCGGAGGGCCTTTTGAATACTGTTGGACGAGCAGAATTGTTGGAGTGGGCAGCAGAGCACCTGAAAAATTGCGAGAAGCTTGATTTGCATTGCTTGGTTGTTCCTACTGTTCAGTGTTTGATGGATAAGTCCTTTGACGCGCGTGAGAAAGCGCAACTGTTGCTTATTGAAGTATTAAAATCTGTGGGTAAAGACACTGTACTTACGATGGGGTGTCGCGACATAAAGCCTGCCGCAATGCGGGCTCTTCAGCCTTTGCTTGCCAAAGTATGCGAATTAGCAGAGGCGGGTGGGGCTGTTAGTACTGACGAAGAAGCCTCTTCTATTTCAGGACCTACCAGAACGCCAACGCATCCTCCTGTAACACCATCTGCTGCGGGTTCTGGATCAATCAGCACTGGGATTGGACGTGGTGGAAGCCGCAGAAGGGCAAGTGCATCTGGAGGTGATGGCACTTCAGTAAAGTCACGCCTTGCCCGACCTGCTGTATTGAAGGCTCCTACGACATCGCTTTCGTCTCATTTCGCATATACTCAAAAAGAAATCGCACCATTGCTGAAGATGAGCACCAGCAAACCTGCAAGAATACTTAAAGGGCAGTTTAACCGCTGGCTTTTTGAGGCCACCTCCACAAGTGAAATGAATACGCGCAAGAGTGAAATTGAGGCTGAGTGGAAGCCTTTCTTGTCGCCTGAGTTTCATGCGAAACTCTTTGCTCCGTCATTGGAGAAAGGAATGCTAAGCGCGATGGACGAGTTGACGGCGGTATGCGTTGTCCATCAAGCAGATGAAGTGATTGCCTCACTCGACCTTATCTTAAAGTGGTGCACCCTTCGTATTGTGGACAACAATGTTCAGGCCCTGGCTAAGCTGTTGGAGTTTTTGGTTAAGCTACTGGACATGTTAAAGGACACAAGATACCAGTTAGATGACGTTGAGGCTGCAATTTTGCTTCCGTACTTACTCCAAGAAAGTGGACAGTCAAAGCCGCGTTTTCGCGTCCGCTTCCGTGATGTGATGAAGCTGGTTATTGATGTGTATAGTCCTGAAAAGTATGTACCTTTTCTAATGGAATGCTTTAATGGTTCGAAGAACATGAAGAGTCGCTGTGAGTGCATTGATCTTGTGGAATTCATTGTGAGTGTGCATGGATACCAAGTTGTTGGCCGAAAATGCATTAAAGATATAGGTAAGTACGTCGTAGCCCACGAGAAGGAGCTTCGTGAGAGTGCGATCAACGCACTAGTATCTGTTTATAGGCGGACCGAGAAAGGAAGTTCGGACAAGTTTTTTTCGGTTCGTTGGCATCACTACGCAACAGGGTATTGATTTGCTAAGTGCACGTATAAAACATTTGCCTGTGGTAACTTTTCCAAATGGAAGTGCTGCTGAAGGAAAAGTTGTGACAAAGCCAGAGCTGTTACAGCAACGCTCTCAACGGACTGGGTTCGGATTCAGACGAGCTTCTATTGTTACGACTTTGACGCCGACACATAATAATGTTTCGCGTTCGATGGAGTCACATGCTGAGCCCATTTCTGTGGCCGTGGTGAAGCAGTTACCTGATGGTCATATAGACGATGACATCATCATGAACACAGTAAATGAGGAGGCGGTTGAAGAAATCCCGTCCAGTGCGGCGATCGAAGAGTTGCTATTGCGCCCAATTGAGATGCTTATCAACTCTTCAAAGGAAATTGTTCCCGCTGGTACACCTGCGTACAAGGAAGGCGGGAACGCTCTGAAGGGTTTGTATGCAATCATTAACTGTCCTTCGGACCCGTCAGAAGTCGAGTTTCTGCACTCGTATGTGAACGAGATTGTTTTGGCTCTTTGCGATTGTATACATGGAGCCTTTTACGCAGGTAATGCGGAGAAGAGGCCTGAGATGTACATTCTTGCAATAAGCATCACGACGTTAACCGTGATCTTTAATAGCGAGGCTGTTACTAGTATGCAGCGCTACACTGTGGAACGCGTTTTACTGGAATTGTGCTCAAAAATAATGGACCCGCGTTTGGAAAAGTTCTCTCAAAAGGCTAATTTGCCAGTAACAGAGTTAAGTATGTCACCGGAAGAGAATCGTTATCTCATGGTCTACAAAGCGCTTTACAAGGCTATGCGCAAGCTGACGGAAAGGGCGAAACCTGGTGATGTGTACCCTTCGGTGATTAATCTTCTGCAACGTCTTATGCACAATGATGTTGGTGAGTACAACAAGAACGACGCGTTAAAGCATTTGTTAAAAGAAGATTCTCTTGATCAGCTTGTAGGACGTATTCTGCTGAAGCTGACGAACGTCCAAGCAAAGGCACTTGCCCCATTTGAGGGTATTGACATCTTTGGTGTTCTCATGCAGATGCATGGGTTCTTTTCGACTCTACCGAGGGCTGAAGTCATGATGGTGGATATAGCCAACGACAACATGCAGTCAGCATTAAAGATTATTGCTGAGAGCCTAACAAAGACTCGACCGAGTACTTTTGAGGCATCTCTAAAGGACATTCCTTCTACTTCTATGGTGCATCAGATTCTCGAAGATACGGGATATGTTCAATCCCAACTACAGAATGCTGCCGAAACAGAGCTGCGTGTCGGAGAAAACGACACTTGTCTCTCGTCAGCGGCTCGTAATTTGAACCACTATGACGGCGGAAGTGCCGCCACAGGTGGTGCTGCTGCAACAGAAGAAACAATTTCTCGACGTTTGTTTTCGCCACAAGATACTTTCTGTATTGCAGCCCAAAGATCAAGAACGGCTTCATTAGTGCCGTCAGTGGCTGCAAATGCACCAACAACAACCCGTGGACGCAGTTTCACGTCGTTTCATGACTTCGCTGTCAATCGCGGCGCAGCGAGTAGTATGCCACGTACGTCGACGACCAGCGAACAGCTTGAAAATTTGCGGGAGCGACTACAAATGTCCCGTCATTTTAATTAGCTGAGCGCGTACTCACTCATGAGCGTGGCTTGATAGCAGTGATGAGATAGTTGGCGTGCTTATTGGTTTTCTCAAGATTGGCATTACAATCTCGGCTGTCTTGAAGCTGACTCATGACGTATAGTGCATCAATTTTTATGGTGCCGAGCAACGTTAGTATTCCGAAAAACGCCGTTTTCAAGACATCGTGACCCCAACGATCCTGCTTTTAGTACAGCACTACGATCGCAAAATGCAATCAAAAGTAGTTGCTGTATGCTCAAAAGTACCATTATTAAAGAGACTTACCCGTACATTGTCGGTCATTTTTCTATCGCCAAGAGTTCTTTTACCTTGCTAAGCACAAGCTATCGGTCGTATCTGCAAAGGGATACAAAGAGTCTATCGTATGTCTCTCGCACTTGTATCAGCATATTTACGTATAATAATGGCAAATGTCAATGCACAACACGCATATGGCACACTCTAGTCCCATGGAAAGCGCAACACATTGTTCTGTGACACAACGCCGAGCACATCTGTCATTCCTCGGAGCGATACTGAGTGCATCTGTCATTCTAAGCCCCGGAGCAAGCTATTTCTCTTGGATCATGAGTATGATGATGTCACTATAGCTGGCCACAAATCCATGATGTTCGTTTGATCTACAGTATTGCTCAAGCAAGGAGCGTGAGCATGCAAGTTGTACGTCTCAGTCCGATTCGTGCCAGCAAATTAAGAGGTACGACTCGAAAGCTGAGATGAGGTTACCATGTGGATACAAACATGTCTTTCTTTGAATACCCTGGAGGTAGGGCACGGCTTTTGCAATCTTTGACCAAAGATCGATAGCAAGGCTTTTGGTCATGCTGGACGATGACGTGAAAACCATGGTGTCCTGGAAGCGTGACAACGATTCGTCGTGACGGTTATTGAAATAAAGACAAGAAAGCAAAAACAACAGGTATGACAAATTCAATATAACGAAGACAATCCTTATATTGTTACAAAGTAGTCGAGGCAGATACATTCCCAGGCCCGATATGACATTACGCGTTTAAGATGTTTCAGGATTGCATTGCTTCGACAAAGAATGGACAACCGAATCGCAGTCTTAACAAGAGGAAATGCAATAGTACTAACACTCGACCGAATCCTTGTTGCCCTCTACTAGCGTGCTCGTAGACGCTGAGATATTGGATGCTTCATCGAGCGTAACGACTGTATTTTTTTAGTAGCCGAGCTACTGTAGCCTCGCTACTTATGCACTATGTGCAGAGGATGTAGCCAAGCTACTGTAGCAAAGCTACTTATGCACTATGTGCAGAGGAAGACAAGCTCAGAGAGCTTCTACGTCTTAGAGTGCTTAACCCTCCTAGGCTAGCTCGTAAGCTTGTGCCTATTGGTATTAACAACCGAGTCTGAGAGACTAGGATAAAAGATACTGATTTCTTAGAAGGAAGAGAACGTTCAAGCTGTAAGGCTTACAGAGCACGTTTGAAACTGTTTATATTATGTTTATCTTCTAACACTAAATATAGAAGCACCTATCCTATACTTAGTGCTAGTCACTATTTACTGGCTCTATAGCCTGTTATTATTATGCTAACATGCATAGTCACTATACTATGAATAAGTATAGTGACCACGTGGCTCTCTGCCACGATGTGACCCTTCGTACTTCAGGTACGGTCACATCACCTACTTTTGTACAGCCACACCACATTGGTGTGGCAGGTGTGTATGTAAAATACATACCCTCGTGTAACCCCGTTACACCCTCCCCCCCCAACCCGTGGGACCCGACGTAACCCACAATTTTGACTTCAATTGTATCATCGATTTTTATTTTCTTCCCATTTTGCTTGCCTCGCAATAAGTGCCTCGCACTTGCGAACAAAGCTTTAGTATTCTGACACTTGCTTCTTGAGCAACTGTGCTTTGCACACACGGTTTCTAAGCATCCTTGTGTTATGACACTTGCTCCTTGAGCATACAGTGCATCGCAGTCACGCTAAAGCATTATAGTGTTATGACACTTGCTTATAAGCGTTAAGCGCCAAGCACTTGGTACTATTACCCTTTGTGTGTTTACAAACCCTTGCTTTGAAGCATTTCAGTGTTTAAACACTTGCTTATAAGCGATTGAGCATATAAGTGTGTAACACTTGCTCACAAAGCACCGTAATGCTAACACTAGCTTATATATAATGCACATTAGTGCGAACACTAGCTACAATGCACATTAGTGTCTAACACCAGCTTATGAAGCACCTAAGTGTTCAACACTTGCTTATAAAGCACAATTTCGCTTCGCTTTAGCGTATAAGCACCATAGTATCGAACAGTAGCTAATAAAGCACCATAGTGTGTAACACTAGCTTATCAAGCACCGAAGTGTTCAACACTTACTTATAAAGCACATTTTTGCTAAACACTTGCTTTTAAGGAACCTTCGTGTTCGGCACTCGCTTATAAAGCAACTAAATGTTTAACACGTGCTTGTACCGCACCTTAGTATTAAACTCTTGCTTCTATAAAGCCTTTAAGTGCTTAAAACACTTGCTTATATAATCCCAAAGTGTTTTACACTTTTGATAAAGCTTCATAGTGTTTCACACTTGCTTATATAAAGCCCCACAGTGTTACTTTTGCTTAAAGCACAAAATTATTGACACTTGCTTATATAAAGCCCCAAAGTGTCGTAAACTTGCTTATAAAGCTTTATCATTATTAACGCGGGCTTAATAGCAGCTAGTGTTTCACGCTTGTGGTGAAGCGTTTAAAGAATTGGTAGGCCAGAGGACCCGTTGGTCAAAGACAAGGGGGCCCATGGAGAGGAGCGACGGTAAGGAAAGGGACAGAGAGACGGGGCGCTAAAAAGGGACGAGGGACGACCGTTGGATGAGGAGAATGTACGGTCTCAATGTGCTTCATTCAGAGGAGTCAACCTCGGTTAGTCTGATGGACCGGGGTTCCTCGAGGTGAACCCCAGTCTTTTCGAGGTTGACCCTGGTCCCTCGTTGGTAGACTTTGGGCTTTCATTTGTAGACCCTCCGGTCCCTCGACAAGCAGAAACAAGAACCAGGTCTCGGGGTAAGGATAGAGTAAGGAAGTGTAAAGATAGGACCATGTTAAATACTACTCAATTTGCGATCTATATAGCACACCTCCGTCGTACTTCCAAGGTACTTACTAAGTCTACCCGCCTGTTCCGGGAAGGGATACATTTTGGCCCCCGTCGAAGACAGTTGTGTGGTAAGACCCAAGTACGAATAGAACTGCAGGATACATTCGGCCTGTGGGTTCGTCTGAGTAGCACCCCCCAAATCGACCCGCTATCGGAAGCGGTCTCCCTACTAGTGGTCCGGGAGCAAGTAAAGGCCAGGCGGTTATCACATCTAAGATATCAGGGAAAAGTAAGGAAAAGGCCACGGTGGAGAATCTCCCCTGAAGGATTTGGTTATAAGTCCACCCTCGACTTAGTCGGCCGAGTGGCCACCTACCCGCCTACAGAGTGAAGTATACCCGCTCGAGGTACCCCAAGGCCGACCACTCTCAAGGCCGACATCACATCTCAGCCAAGTCCTCCAAAGAGTGCAACCCGTCAGCCGACGGGTACACAAGGTGAGAGAAGGTCTATACGCGGCATCGGGGTACCCCCTCCGACAGTCGGCAGTCCGGCACAGTGAGTGGCTTGGGGTCTCATTACGCAGTCTTGAGAGCCCAATCCACCACGCTTTTCTTTTGATTCAATCTCTGCGCTACCCAGAGCCTGCAGAATGTCAACACATGCCT